TTCTCCACTTCGGTCTTCAAAGTTCTCATTTGAATATTTGCTACTACCACCAAGATCTGCACCGGGACCCGCTTCACCTAGGCTCACGCTCCAGGTTTCGCAGCAGACCCCGCGCCCTCCTACTCGTCGCAGCGTTAGAATCGCCGCGACGGCCAAGCATAGGTCGCGCGCTTCAGCGCCCTCCATTTTCGGGGCTGATTGATTCGGCATGTGAGTTGTTATACACTCGGATTTCGACTTCCATGGCCACCGTCCTGCTGTCTGTATCAATCAACACCCTTTGTGGTGTCTGGGTTAGCGCGCAGTTTGACACCGTAGCTCGAGTTTCGGTTCATCCCGCATCGCCAGTTCTGCTTACCAAAAATGGCCCACTTGGAGCTTTCATTGATCCTCGGGGTTCGCTTAAGCAACCTCGAGATCTTATCTATTTAAAGTTTGAGAATAGGTCGCGGGTGTTTCACCCCCGAGGCCTCTAATCATTCGCTTTACCCGATAAAACTGTTCAACAGCTCCAACTATCGTGAGGGATACTTCGGAGGGAACCAGCCACTAGACGTTTCGATCAGTCTTTCGCCCCTATACCCAAGTCCGACGAACGATTTGCACGTCAGTATCGCTGCGAGCCTCCACCAGAGTTTCCTCTGGCCTCGCCCAGCTCAGGCATAGTTCACCATCTTTCGGGTCCCAACGGGCATGCTCACACTCAAACCTCTCACAGCAGATCGTGGTTGGTGGACGGTGCACCCGCACAGGGTTCCCGCCACGCAGGTTTCTTCTGCCTCGTGGGCTAATCACCCACCGGCTCGCATGCACGTTGAACTCCTCGGTCCGTGTTTCAAGACGGGCAGGATAGAGGAATTTCGCCAGCATCCCGAACACGCAGGAACCCGAACGGGCCCGCCGAAAGAGGCGCGTGCTCAAGGTCCTCGACTGCCGTGACAGCCACCCGTGGGGGGTTTCAATCGCACCCCACCGCAATGCCGGTCACAGCAGCCCATTCTGGCAGGCACCCCACGTCCAACAAGGGGGGCGACAACACTGTTGCCGTCCACCCCTTCTTAGACGGGAGCACACGACTTCCCCTCCATCCGCTTCTCGCTCGGCAATTTCAAGCACTCTTYAACTCTCTTTTCAAAGTTCTTTTCATCCTTCACTCGCAGTACTTCTTTGCTATCGGTCCCTCGCATATATTTAGCCTTGGATGGGACTTACCACCCAATTGGGGCTGTCACCCTCTTCGGTGTCCCCTTCCAGGGAAGCTGCACACGGCCCGCTGCAGAGGTTGCCTCTCAAGACTACAATTCAGGGAGCAACACAGCCCCCGGATTTTCAGTCTGCGCTATTCCCTATTCGCACGCCGCTACCAAGGGAATCCTCGTTGGTTTCTCTTCCTCYGCTTAGTTATATGCTTAAATTGGGCGGGTGCTCCCGCCTGACCAGAGATCAAAAGGCAAGGCCCGACGTACCTCCACAGCTCGAGGCCGACACCCCCAACCGCAAGCCCACCTCAAGCTGATGGGAGCGAATGGAAGGCGGCGACCACACAAACCGGAGGGACTACCTTATGTGCCGTTTTCAGGGAAACGAAGGCCAACACCCACAAACAGGTGCTCGAGGGCAACAACAGGGCGGAGCGAWACGCACCACTCTGGGCTGCGGTCCCCACAGGCCCGCTCGGAATGCTCTCCAATTCCCTTCCACTTTAGGCTATCGACGCTCTCCAAGTGGGAAGCGAGGGAAGCCACGACCACGGACCCCACCACTCTCTGAAACGGAAGGTGCGGAGGTCGTGAGGAATCCAATGATGCTCAGGCGGGCGTGCCCTCGGCAGAAGCCTTGGGCGCCACGTGCGTTCAAGGTATCGATGGCTCACGGATTTCTGCAATTCACATTCAGTATCCCATTACGCTGCGCTCTTCATCGTTGCGAGGGCCAAGATATTCGTTTGCCGAGATGTCTACAATATGGTGCCGTTCCGACAGGACCGACCCCTCGACCAGAACAGAAGGGGGCCGTCAACCCGGACAGCGACAGATCAGAGGAGGTACATCAATAAGAAGTTGCAAAGCCGTCGCCACCAGCCGCTGCCACGGGCCCGCCCGACCCCCCGTTCGGAGGGCCAGGCAGGGCACCGGGGAGCAGCGGGGCAACGAGGGTGCAAGCG